GGGGGTAAACAATGCCCCATCTTTGGTGTTAGTAAGAGGACTTGTGCCCCATCGATGGTGTCATTGGGAGAAATTGTGCCCCATCATTGCTGTCATTGGGCCCCATTCTTGGTATCATTGGGATGAACTGTGTCCCATTGTTGGTGTCATTGGTGGGAATTGTGCCCCATCATTAGTGTTAGTGGATTAAATAGTGCCCCAAGGGCCAGGTAAAAACAAGCAAAGGGCCGCATCTGGCCCCAGGCCACTATTTGGAGACCCCTGCTCTAGGGCAGGGGTCTCCAAATTTTCTAAGCAAAGGGCCAGTTTACTGTCCTACAGACTTTAGGGGGGCCGGACAGAAAATGTCCCGGTATCAGTGGGAGTAAACAATGCCCCATCTTTTGGTGTTATTAAGACTTGTGCCCCATTGATGGTGTCATTGGGAGAAATTGTGCCCCATCATTGGTGTCATTGGACCCAATTCTTGGTATCATTGGGATGAACTGTGCCCCATTGTTGGTGTCATTGGTGGGAATTGTGCCCCATCATTGGTATTCATTGGCATCAGTGGATTAAATAGTGCCCCGGGGGCAAAGTAAAAGCAAGCAAAGAGCCGCATCCGGCCTCCCAGGCCGCATTTTGGAAACCACTGCTCTAGGGTGTCTGCTTTCCAAAAAATATGTAATGATTGGGGGGTTTTGTGTAATCTTCAGGCCTAAAATTATTTTTTAAACGTGCAAAAAAATAAATAAATGCAAAAACGTTCTGGCAGTGAAAGGGTTAAATGAATCTAAAAAAAAAAAACAAACCAGAACAATTACTATGCACCCCAAAAAATGAGGTTGAACACTGAACACAAAAGTTGGCTCTCTGTTGAAAGCCTGCAATTCAATAGTGTGATCATGGGTGGACTGACCATTTGGAAACTCGGGCACTGCACGAGGGCCCGGGGTCAGTAGGGGGCCCCATGAGATGCCCCTGGTACCTTTTTTCATAGGCTTTTTTGAGTTTGGGCAAGGACACAGGGGCCCCATGATCCCCTATTGCCGGGGGCCCAATGAGTTGTCAGTCCACCCCTGGGTGTGATGATGCATTTGAACTCAGAGAAGCCTCGTTGTGAATAAAAGATGGTCAGGGCTGCCTAGGCCCTCACAATCCAAGGTCACTCCCCCCACCCCCCCGGAGAATGTGGAGGGGCGTTAAAAGCATCACGGATGACACCATCAGAGGTGGAGAACACCTGATCCATCCATCTCTCCCCAATGGTCTTGTTTTGAGGAATCCAATACCTAACTTTGTCTCCAGGCTCATTCCTCCACCAATTGAGCTGCCCTTCAGGGTGACTGCAGCAGAGCTGAAGAGGTCCTGGAAATCCCACCAAGGCTGCAGTTTGGTCCCCCTAAAGTCTGAAGGAGAATAAACTGGCCCTCTGTTTAGAAAGGTCGGAGACCTCTGCTCAAGACAACTACTATTATCCCCGTCCCTAGGTGCAAAAGTGTAATAGGTCAAAGGGAGTGCCAATAGAAAAATCCTTAGGAGTCCAAAGTCTTCATCAGTGGTGTCACTATGGTGGTGTGGGGGGGTGCAGACCACACCCGGGTGACACCTGACAGAGGGGGACACCAGGGCCGCCGATAGGGGGACTACAGAGCGATGCCCTGTGTCTTTGTCTCTCCCTCCAGCATCTGAAAGCTAATTTCTCTCCCTCTCCCTGAGCTGGCTTACAGCTGCTGGAGGGAGACACAAAGACACAGGGCATCGCTCTGTAAATGTCCTCCTATCCAAGGGCGGACTGACCATTTGGAAACTCGGGCACTGCCCGAGGGCCCGGGGTCAGTAGGGGGCCCCATGAGATGCCCCTGGTACCTTTTTCATAGGCTTTTTTGAGCTTGGGCAAGGACACAGGGGCCCCATGATCCCCTATTGCCCGGGGGCCCCATGAGTTGTCAGTCCGCCCCTGTTCCCATCACACCGCACCGATCGCCCTCCCTGTGCTGCCCACACCTGGTTCCTCCGTTTCCTCTCCTACTGGCTAATGCGGACAGGGCTCCATTCACAGTCCTCTGTTGCCCCTTCCTCAGGGAACCACGGGGTGGGTGCCCTGAATGTCTTGGCTTGCCATGATATCAGCTCCCATCACCTTCTCCTGGACCATCGGAAATCTGTAGTAGGAGGACAGGCAGCAGCACTACTCTTCTTCAGAAGAAAAGTGGGGAACAGGTGTGTAGGGACGATATGGGGGACAGGGGGTCACAGTGGGGAATGGGGATGCAGGGGTGTACATTAAAAATTTTTTGTGAAAAATAATTTTTAAAATAGGCTCTACAGGGCCCTATGATTTCTAATAGCAGCCCTGGGTGACACCATCAAGTAGGAAGTGATATCTGACCGCAATGGTGTCACCCCCATCTGTGACAGTGCACGGATCAGCACGCTGGTACCGACAGCATCATTTACAGAGGCCGGTTTGGGGGCGGAGGTGACACCATGTTATACTGCACCAGGTGACACCAACCCTAGTGACGCCACTGGTCTTTATTGTTCAACTGGCTACAACCATGCAGGGCTTTTGTAATCAGTTGAACAATAAAAGCTTTGAACTGGATTTTTCACTGGATTTGGCATTCTCTTTGACCTCTTACACTTGGATTTCCCAACTCAGGTGAATCTCCTCTTCTAGGGGGTGGGGGTTCCCCATCTTTGTGGTGGGCTGCTGACTACAGGCCCGTTGGATTTAAGTCATGACTATGTCCACATGATAACCTGTAAAAATCAATGTCCAGCGCCCCTCTGCTGCTACCTCTTGGACCGAGGCTCAACAGTGTCATCGTCCATTAGCACCTTCCTCAATAATAGTGAAGTCCTTCAAAAGGCTGGTCATGGCACATGCGAAGAAGACCATCAACTTCAGAGTAGACCCCAACCAGTATGCATATAGACACAAATGCTCCCATGTAGACGCTACCTCCTCTGTGGTTCACCTGGCTCTCATTCATTTGGACTCTCATTTTAGAACTTTGTTCCTTTTCACAAACTCTGATAGATAACCCAACCTACCCAACCTGAACACAACTCAGCAGCTAGGTCCTAAACTTTTAATCAAATGGGCCCCGGTCTGCTAGAATTCACAACATTTCCTCCTTCCCCCTTCCTCCTCAATACTGGTTCTCCTCCAGGGATACATCCTGAGGCTCGTACTTTATGCACTGCTGGCCTACGACTGCTCAGCCAAGCCTCCAGGCAATCATTATTGTGAAGTTCTTGGAAGATGTGGAAGTAGAGGGACTCATCATTCATTGCAATGAGTCCAAGTACAGGCTGGAGGTAGAGAAACGGGAGACATCTGGTGCAAGGCAAGCAACCTCTCCGTCAATGTGAAGAAAAAAAAGAAATGATTGTGGACTTTTTGGAAGACCGGCACCACTAACTCTCACTCCTATATCGGGGGATGAGGTGGTGTCATGCTTTACATACTTGGGGGTGCACATTTCTGTTAACCTCACCTGGAGCACCAATGCAGCCAGAATAGTGAGGAATGACTGCCCACACTTTTTTTGAGGAGACCATCGGTACCTCAATCCTCATTTTGTAGGTCCATCTAACATGAGACCTTGTTCTCCAAGTGGGGGACTCGCCAATCAGATAGTCTGCAGTGAGACGGTTCTGTCTGTATTCATACTGGTGGGGGTTTACTCTGAAGTTGATGGTCTTCTTCATATGTGCCATGCCTGGGCACCCCATAATTATTGGGGTGCCCAGTGCTACTAGGTGATGATCACTTGGGCATGAGGCTGCTTAGCCCCTTGGGACAGACAGGTATAATAGCATAGGCGTGCGCACAGGGTGTGCTGGGTGTGCCTGGGCACACCCTAATCACCCCATGCAGCGCAGATTCTAATTGCTGCCCAGTGCCGATCGTTACCGATCGCTCACTGTGTTCATTCATAACTTTTGTGAGTGGACAGAAAGCCGCTCAGCACAGAGCACTCCCCATTCATTCGCTGTCCCGTGCAGCTGAGGCTGCAGAGAAAGGGATGGGGAAATCTCTGTCCTCAGTCACTCTTCTCTGTCTCAAAAGCGAGAAATGAACAGACCTCTGATATTTCACCAACCCCTCCCCCCCCAAAGGGCGTTCCTAAAATAATAAAAGAAAATAATATTGTAAAAAATAATAATACAAAATTGTAAAAATAAGTTTTAAAAAATTCTAATAATAAAAAACTACTGACACCGTCTTCTGCCCTACTGACACCGTTCACTGCTCTACTGACACCATCCTATGCACTACTGACACGGTTCACCGCTCTACTGACACTATCTACTGCCCTACTGACATCAACCTCTGCCCTACTGACAGGTCCACTGCTCTACTGACACCATCCACTGCCCTACTGACATCAACCTCTGCCCTACTGACACCATCCACTGCCCTACTGACACTGTCCTCTGCCTTACTGACACGTCCACAGCTCTACTGACACTGTCTTCTGCCCTACTGACACTGTTCACTGCTCTACTGACACCATCCTCTGCCCTACTGACATGTCCACTGCTCTACTGACACCATCCTACTGACCTACTGACACTGTCCACCGCTTTACTGACTGACACCATCCACTGTCCTACTGACATCAACCTCTGCCCTACTGACACATCCACTGCTCTACTGACACCATCCACTGCCCTACTGACACATCCACTGCTCTACTGACAACATCCACTGCCCTACTGATACAGTCCTCTGCCCTACTGACATGTCCACTGCTCTACTGACACCATCCACTACTCTACTGACATGTCCACTGCTCTACTGACACCATCCACTACTCTACTGACACTGTACTCTGCCCTATTGACATGTCCACTGCTCTACTGACAGCGTCCACTGCCCTACTGATACGGCTACTGCTCTACTGACACCATTCAGTACTCTAATGTCAGGACAGTACCTTTGCCGGGACGGTACAAATCCCCCCAAATGCCAGGACAGTACAAATCCCCCCAAATGCCAGGACAGTACAAATCCCCCCAAATGTTAGGACCGTACAATTCCCCCCAAATGTCAGGAAAATACAAATCCCCCCAAATGTCAGGACAGTACAAATCCCCCCAAATGTCAGGACAGTACAAATACCCCCAAATGTCAGGACAGTACAGATATCCCCCCAAATGTCAGGACGGTACAGATATCCCCCAAATGTCAGGACGGTACAGATATCCCCCTAATGTCAGGACGGTACAGATATCCCCCAAATGTCAGGACGGTACAGATATCCCCCAAATGTCAGGACGGTACAGATCCCCCCCAAATGTCAGAACGGTACAGATATCCCCCAAATGTCAGAACGGTACAGATCCCCCCCAAATGTCAGAACAGTACAGATATCCCCCAAATGTCAGGACAGTACAGATATCCCCCAAATGTCAGGACGATACAGATACCCCCCAAATGTCAGGACAGTACAGATATCCCCCAAATGTCAGAACAGTACAGATTTCCCTCAAATGTCAGGACAGTACAGATATCCCCCCAATGTCAGGACAGTACAGATATCCCCCAAATGTCAGGACGGTACAGATATCCCCAAATGTCAGGACAGTACAGATATCCCCCAAATGTCAGAACAGTACAGATATCCCCCAAATTTCAGGACGATACAGATATCCCCCAAATGTCAGGACAGTACAGATATCCCCCAAATGTCAGGACAGTACAGATATCCCCCAAATGTCAGAACAGTACAGATATCCTCCAAATGTCAGGACAGTACAGATATCCCCCCAATGTCAGGACAGTACAGATATCCCCCAAATGTCAGAACGGTACAGATATCCCCAAATGTCAGGACAGTACAGATATCCCCCAAATGTCAGAACAGTACAGATATCCCCCAAATTTCAGACGATACAGATATCCCCCAAATGTCAGGACAGTACAGATATCCCCCAAATGTCAGAACAGTACAGATATCCTCCAAATGTCAGAACGGTACAGATATCCCCCAAATGTCAGAACGGTACAGGTATCCTCCAAATGTCAGGACAGTACAGATATCCTCCAAATGTCAGAACAGTACAGATATCCCCCAAATGTCAGGACAGTACAGATATCCCCCAATGTCAGGACGGTTCAGATATCCCCCAAATGTCAGGACGGAACAGATATCCCCCAAATGTCAGGACAGTACAGATATCCCCCAAATGTCAGGACGGTACAGATATCCCTCAAATGTCAGGACAGTACAGATATCCCCCAAATGTCAGGACACAGTACAGATATCCCCCAAATGTCAGGACGGTACAGATATCCCCCAAATGTCAGGACAGTACAGATATCCCCAAATGTCAGGACAGGACAGATATCCACAAATGTCAGGACGGTACAGATATCCCCCAAATGTCAGGACGGTACAGATATCCCCCAAATGTCAGGACAGTACAGATATCCCCCCAAATGTCAGGACGGTACAGATATCCCCCAAATGTCAGGACGGTACAGATATCCCCCAAATGTCAGGACAGTAGAGATATCCCCCAAATGGTAGGACAGTAGAGATATCCCCCAAATGTCAGGACAGTAGAGATATCCCCCAAATGTCAGGACGGTACAGATATCCCCCAAATGTCAGGACAGTAGAGATATCCCCCAAATGTCAGGACGGTACAGATATCCCCCAAATGTCAGGACGGTACAGATATCCCCCAAATGTCAGGACAGTAGAGATATCCCCCAAATGTCAGGACAGTACAGATATCCCCAAATGTCAGGACAGTACAGATATCCCCCAAATGTCAGGACGGTACAGATATCCCCAAATGTCAGGACGGTACAAACCCCCCCAAATGTCAGGACAGTACAGTAGCCGCCTGTCAGCAGAAAAAATGACTGTTGGCGGGCGGCAGGTGGTTAGTATTATTATAGTGCCCTTATTTACTTTATACTTTTAGACATTTATTGATTAATATTTGAAATGTGTGCTATAGAGCACTGCATGCTTCACCTTCATTTTATTGTTGTTGCTGCTGGGACCCGAGTGCCGTATCTTGTCCCTTTCATGTACAGTATGTTCCGGAATGACACCCTCCTGTTTATGTAGGGGTACCTATGAAAGATTTGTATCTGATCCCCGACAGAGCGATAATTCCTGTGTGAACTGCATGTTCGGGTGTCAGGGATCAGGGCGGGGTGGATCGAGGCTTTGTGCTGCCCTAGGCAACAGTGGGAGAGCGAGAGAGTTCAATGAGTGCGTGTGATTCTCTTTCTTTCTTTCTTTCTTTCCACCATGCTTTCTTTCTTTCATGGATGGAGACGCAGATGGATGGATGGAGACATGAATGGTTGAATGGATGAATGGAGACATGGAGGGATGGAGACATGGATGGATGGAGACATGGATGGATGGAGACATGAATGGATGGATTGAGATGTGGATGGATGGATGGAGACATGGATGGATGAATGGAGACATGGATGGATGGATTGACATGTGGATGGATGGATGGAGACATGGATGGATGGAGATGTGGATGGATGGATGGAGACATGGATGGATGGAGATGTGGATGGATGGATGGATGGAGACATGAATGGATGGAAGGAGATGTAGATGGATGGAGACATAGATGGATGGATTGAGACATGAATGGATGAATGGAGACATGGATGGATGGATGGCGACATGGATGGATGGATGGAGATGTGGATGATGGATGGAGACATGGATGGATGGATGGAGACATGGATGGATGGAGATGTGGATGGATGGATAGAGACATGGATGGAGACATGAATGGATGGAGATGTGGATGGATAGAGACATGGATGGATGGATGGATGGATGGAGATGTGGATGGATGGATGGAGACATTGATGGACGGATGGAGACATGGATGGATGGAGACATGGATGGAGACATGAATGGATGGAGATGTGGATGGATAGAGACATGGATGGATGGATGGATGGATGGATGGATGGAGATGTGGATGGATGGATGGAGACATTGATGGACGGATGGAGACATGGATGGATGGAGATGTGGATGGATGGATGGATGGAGACATGGATGGAGACATGAATGGATGGAGATGTGGATGGATAGAGACATAGATGGATGGATGGAGACATGAATGGATGAATGGAGACATGAATGGATTGAGATGTGGATGGATGGATGGAGACATGGATGAATGGATGGAGACATGGATGGATGAATGGAGACATGGATGGATGGATTGACATGTGGATGGATGGATGGATGGATGGAGACATAGATGGATGGATGGGATGGATGGATGGAGACATGGATGGAGACATGGATGGATGAATGGAGACATGGATGGATGGATTGACATGTGGATGGATGGAGACATGGATGGATGGATGGAGACATGGATGGATGGATGGATGGAGATGTAGATGGATGGATGGATGGATGGATGGATGGAGACATGAATGGATGGAAGGAGATGTGAATGGATGGAGATGTGGATGGATGGAGACATGAATGGATGGAAGGAGATGTGAATGAATGGAGACATAGATGGATGGATGGATGGATGGAGACATGGATGGATGGATGGATGGATGGAGACATGGATGGATGGAGATGTGGATGGATGAATGGAGACATGGATGGATGGAGATGTGGATGGAGACATGGATGGATGAGGATTTGTGGATGGATGGATGGCGACATGGATGGATGGATGGATGGTGGAGTTTGCTTTGAATATTAATAGTGAAGTACATCGTGTTTTCAGTTTTTGGTGCTCAGATAGTTTATTTTTGCTTTGGCAAAACGCCAGTGTCTCCTGGACCTTTAGGGGGTTTACATGCCGGGAGGCAGGGTGGAGTTTGTGATCATGTGATTGCTGTGATTGGCGGTCACATGATCGAAAAGCTTGTGATCGCAAGTAGAGATCAGGAGCTTTCCATTAGCCGCAGGTACCTGTGCCGGGAGCGCTCTCCTGCCACAGTTCTGTTTTTTTGGGGGGTACACATAGACGCAGCCTGTCTGCATTAAGCCCCACCCACCGAGAGGCCGCATAGAGGGGTGCGGCCGGCGAGAAGGAGAAGGAGTTAAAAAAACCCGCCAGCTCTTCCGATAAATACTTCTAAATACACGTTGAAGCAAAGTAATAATTGATGCGCTGTATGCTGAAGACTCGGTCTAGACAAAGTTCGTTCTGCAGTTTTTGGAGAAGTTTGCTGAGCCAGGCGTTCTTTTCCTGTAGAAGATCCTTCAAGTCGTGCGTTCCGTCAGAATGCTGGATTGTAGTGTGTGGTGTGACAACGTTTTACTTCTCTCATCCACTGGCAATGGGACTTGTTTTTCGAGGAACACTCACCAGTCTGACTGATGTGATTCACATGTTTTCACCAAACATCACTGTGCCGTGTAATGCCGTGAGTAATTGCTTTTAATTGTCTCAATCTATTGCCTGATAATCAGGGGTGGATTGACAACTCATGGGGCCCCGGGCAATAGGGGATCATGGGGCCCCTGTGTCCTCGCCCACACTCAAACCACATCCAAAAAAGCCTATGAAAAGGTACCAGGGGCATCTCATGGGGCCCCCTACTGACCCCGGGCCCTCAGGCAGTGCCCGAGTTCCCAAATGGTCAGTCCGCCCCTGCTAATAATACAATCGGACCCGGAACTGGTGAAGATAGCCGGGATATCACGGGATACTAGATATAGAGAATACAGAACGGAAAGCTAAATGAAATAGTCAGTTGGGAATGAAGGTATCTTTGTAGGTGGAATGCTACGTAATGTTACTCCAACACAATAATACCCATATTGCCCAAAGTATTGTTCCCGCCCTCCAAATCATGTGATTCAGGTGTTCCAATCCCCTCCAAATCATGTGATTCAGGTGTTCCAATCCCCTCCAAATCATGTGATTCAGGTGTTCCAATCCCCTCCCAAATCATGTGATTCAGGTGTTCCAATCCCCTCCAAATCATGTGATTCAGGTGTTCCAATCCCCTCCAAATCATGTGATTCAGGTGTTCCAATCCCTCCAAATCATGTGATTCAGGTGTTCCAATCCCCTCCAAATCATGTGATTCAGGTGTTCCAATCCTCTCCCAATCATGTGATTCAGGTGTTCCAATCCCCTCCAAATCATTGATTTCAGGTGTTCCAATCCCCTCCAAATCATGTGATTTGGATGTTCCAATCCCCTCCAAATCATGATGATTTCAGGTGTTCCCTCCAAATCCCCTCCCCTCCAAATCATGGGATTTCAGCTGTTCCAATCCCCTCCCAATCATGTGATTCAGGTGCTCCAATCCCCTCCATATCATGTGATTCAGGTGCTCCCATCCCCTCCCAATCATGTGATTCAGCTGTTCCAATCCCTTCCATATCATGTGATTCATGTGTTCCAATCCCCTCCCAATCATATGATTCAGGTGTTCCAATCCCCTCCATATCATGTAATTCAAGTGTTCCAATCCCTTCTATATCATGTGATTCAGGTGTTCCAATCCCCTCCCAATCATGTGATTCAGGTGTTTCAATCCCCTCCATATCATGTGTTTCAGGTGTTCCAATTACCCTCCAAATCATGTGATTCAGGTGTTCCAATCCCCTCCCAATCATATGATTCATGTGTTCCAATCCCCTCCCAATCATATGATTCAGGTGTTCCAATCCCCTCCATATCATGTAATTCAAGTGTTCCAATCCCTTCCATATCATGTGATTCAGGTGCTTCAATCCCCTCCCAATCATGTGATTCAGGTGCTTCAATCCCCTCCCAATCATGTGATTCAGGTGCTTCAATCCCCTCCATATCATGTGATTCAGGTGCTCCAATCCCCTCCCAATCATGTGATTCAGCTGTTCCAATCCCCTCCATATCATGTGATTCGGGTGTTCCAATTCCCTCCATATCATGTGATTCGGGTGTTCCAACCCCCTCCAAATAATGTGATTCAGGTGTTTCAATCCCCTCCAAATCATGTGATTCAGGTGTTCCAATCCCCTCCCAATCATGTGATTCAGCTGTTCCAATCCCCTCCATATCATGTGATTCGGGTGTTCCAATTCCCTCCATATCATGTGATTCGGGTGTTCCAATTCCCTCCAAATCATGTGATTCGGGTGTTCCAATCCCCTCCAAATCATTGGATTCAGGTGTTCCAATCCCCTCCCAATCATGTGATTCAGGTGTTCCAATCTCCTCCATATCATGTGATTCAGGTGTTCCAATCCCTTCCATATCATGTGATTCGGGTGTTCCAATCCCCTCCCAATCATGTGATTCAGGTGCTCCAATCCCCTCCATATCATGTGATTCAGGTGTTCCAATCCCCCCCATATCATGTGATTCAGGTGTTCCAATCACCTCAATGGCCACAGGTGTATACAATCAAGCCCCTAGGCATGCAGACGGCTTCTACAAACATTGGTGAAAGAATGGGTCGCTCTCAGGAGCTCAGTGACTCCAAGCGTGGTCCCGTGATAGGTGGCCACCTGGGCAATAAGTCCATCCGTGACATTTCCTGGCTACTAAATATTCCACGCTCAACTGTTAGTGGGATTATAACAAAGTGGAAGCAACTGGGAACAACAGCCACTCAGCCACCAAGTGTTAGGCCACGTCACATGACAGGGCGGGGTCAGCGCATGCTGAAGCGCACAGTGCGCAGAAGTCACCAACTGTCTGCAGAGTCAATAGCTAAAGACCTCCAAACTTGGTGTGGCCTTCAGATGCGCCCAACAACAGTGCGTAAATAAATCCAAATACAGGAAACGAATCCAAATACAGGAAACGAATCCAGAGACGCTTGGACGGTATAGTAAGGCGCTGAATTCGAGGGTTCCAAGGAAAATGGCTTTTTTTTTTTTTTTTTTTTTGCCCCGGCCTGTT